TTTCATTTGGTAGCAGTTTTCACAAAGCTTAAACAGGAAAAAATTTAATCATTCAATGACAAAAAGAGGAAGTAAATATTCTCAGAAATAATTATTTTCCCCCATATGATTACAACTACAAACTTGAAATTTATAAATGTAAATATAAATTTTTTAAAAAGTATTAGATTGTTTAAAAATTGCAATAGTTTTTATGCTAAAATGTAAAAGTTGACAAAACATCAAATAAATTAAGAGATTAAGCAGATACCAACGTAAGCTAAAAAATATAAAAGAAAAAAACAGGAAAAGAAATGCCAACGTTTTTGTTACTGATAATAAAATATACTTTAATGACTATATTATTGAATATTTCTAGTTAAATTCTCACAGATTTCCTTTGAATCTGTTAAAAATTTGGTGAAATGGTCATTTGGGAAATTAATCATTTGGTGAGTCAACTTTCAGCTAATTATTTTTAGTGAATTGACACACAGCCAAATAATGAAAGCCTAAACAAAGCTTATGAAGTTGGAATCTCATGGAAGGGAACAGAGAGTAGTGAGAGAGAAATGCCAACAAAGGGAGGGAGGTAGGGCTGTTAAAGGTTTGCCAGCATCTCTCAGTTAGTCAGTGTTGAAGCCAGAGCTAGAACTCAGGTGGACAGATTTCTCTCCTGGTGTCTTTTCAGCTTTGTAGTCCTTGTTACAGGACCCAGAAAGAGGTCTAACATAACCAAGCACAATCATCCACTGTTTATTTTGCTAAAAGTTACTATAAAATGCCATCAAATAATAGCAGTGGTTATGATGGGGGAGAAGAGATTATTTTTATTTTTCTCTCTGTGCTTTTTTGTATTCCATAAATATTTTCAATTTACATACATTATTTTTACATTAAGAAAAATCAGTACAATGTATTACTTTTAATATAGAAAAGTACTAGGAATAATACCCTGTAGCATCATATGCTTTCTTCATTGATTTGTAGAAATCTTCATATAGGAATTAACTTATTTGCCTGATGAGAATGTGCTTTTTTGTCTATTTGCACACTCTATGCTTCCAAAGAAACTTTAAATAGCAGAGTATTATCATTTCATTATATTTAAGTGTTATTCAAATAAGAGGGATTAGTGAGAATAGGCTAAGCTTATACTGATGTAACAAATAACACCCAAATCTCCATGACTTCATATTTCTCCTTCACACAGATAGTGCTTCTGAGTGTGTGTGTAGGTTCTCAGGATGAGGATGGCTCTCCTCCATAATACCCACTGATGGAGAAGAGAGAAACTGGAGAACCAAGGAAGATCTTTTCAGCCAGCAAGTGAGATCACTTTTGCCCACCTTTCATAAGGCAGGACAGTCCACAAAGCTCATCTGAAGGCAAGAAAAATAGGAAGTACAGCCTTCTCAAATTCAAGGAAAAAAGGAGAGTAGGTTACTGGTGTACAGTAGTGATGCAAATCAAATAAGGTATTTTTCTTTTTTCCTGGATTGTAAGGGAATTCCAAAGCTGGATACCATCTTGGAAAATCACTTTTCTGTACTTTCAATCTAGTATACCTGGTTATGGTCAAATTAAAAAAAAAAAAAGAAGGTGCATTGCTTTGACACTTATCAAACACTAAGGATTAGAGGAGGACAAATGAGAGATAATGTATGTAAAGTACTTTGACTAGCTCAGCAGGAAGAAGCCATCTACATTCAAGGTACTTTTTAAAAATGTGCTGATGAAACAAGTCCTAGAAAGATGGAGTGAAAGAGAAAAGGAACAATTGTCACACACCATCCCATCCCAGTCTATTTCCCAAGGACCAAAAAGAACAAGACTTTCCAATGTTGGTGTCATTTCCCCGTAATCCATTTCCAGTGGTTGAATTCCAGGGCTTCAGTATCTTTGGCCAATCCCACTAAGTCAATAGTATCATAGTGGCTGACTCCACTGACAAGAATGTTATCTGCCTCCCTAACTTTAAAAGTCATCATGATTAACATCTCCTGTATCTAATCAGTGTCCACTCTGCCGTTGACTGGCTAGATCTGCATATGAAATGCACCATAGGAACAGAATGAGCTGTTGGAGAATAAAAACTAGTCCCTAATCTGAAGAGGTGAGATTATGCATATGGGATGGAGGTGCAAATCTGGTAGTTTGTGACAAAGTGAATTAATCTCTTCATAGGGAATTTCTGTAGCAAGACAGGAGGAAAACAACAACAACAACAACACCTCGACAGGAAAAAGGCTGCATGCATTACCCAAATGCTCATATGACCTTAGGAAGGTCTCCTTCCTCTATATCTTATAATTTTTTTCTCTTCCTATTTTCTTAAACAAAGGAAATGACATTTGACTTTGTTTAGAACATTCTATAGTTTCTTTAGGACTCGTTTTTAAAATCTGTAATTGAAACGTTTCTACTAGGTGGGCATTAGTGTCCTCCAGGTATGTAATATCTTTCGTTTACATCATCACAACAGGAAAAGGATAGCCAATGTCACAAAATCAAACACATGTCTTGGGCACTTCTGTGGTGGTCTGCCAAATTTAGAGGCCAGATTTATGCTTCAGAATAGGCTACCTGTTTAGAATTTGATGACATAACCTTTTGCCTAAATCATGTGGTCACTTAGGGATTTTATAACAGTATCAAGAATCTTGTCTTTCTGTCACTGTAACCATCTGAAACGACAAAGTCCTCTCTGCAAGCAGATTCTCAGGACTACTTAAGTGCTATCTAGCTGTCAGGTTGAATGTCAGCACGACTTTGGAAGGAGCATCTCCACCCAGGCTGCAAAATACAACAAAACTTTCTGAACAAGATTTATAGAAAAATGAAAGAAAGCAAAACAAGATGGATTTCTTCTTTCTTGTATCTCTTCCTCTTTCAAAACCTTTTCCTTGGTCCTGGTTCAAGAAATGGAGAGTATACACTAAGAAAGCCAAGAGAAATCTGATTGTTCATGTGATGTCCTGCTACATATTCTTCTTCTGACTCTTGTGTGGCACGATAATCCCACAGCATGAGTAGCTGCATCTCTTCCCTATATCAGCATCAATCAGGTGATACAAGAAGAAGTTGAAGCCGGGTTCCTGCGGGTTACTGTAAATATTCAGTAAGATTGCCTTTCGACTGTGTTATGAAAACAGCTTAATCCTATCAATTTGCTGTTTTCTTGTTTAACCTGAGGAGGGACTCAAGGGTCACAAGGATTTATGAGCTTGTTTTACAGGAGAAAAAGTGCCTTCAAGGGAGTCATGATCACCAGATAACCAGCCTCCAGCTGCCATTGATGCCTAGAAGTCAGATTTACCAGGGGCTTATGGGGGTGAAAGAAACATGGATTACTCCTCTGTTTCTCCAAAACTCCTCCTGCCAAGCCCCTTAGCTCTATAAAACCCCCTGCTTTCTTCTCTTGAGAAGGCAGATTTGAGAGAACCTATCTTTCAGCCCTCTCGTTTTGGCAAATTTGAATAAGCCTTTCTCTGTCTCCAATTACTGATGTCTTGGTGATGGGCTTACTGTGCATCAGGGACACGAACTTGAGATTAAGAGTATCAAAGTGTACATTGCGAGAGATTCACAAAGAATATTATCTAGATCCCACCAACTCCATGAAGATCCCAAAGTACCTGTTAACTCTGACTGAAGCTACCTTTGACAGGTTACGTTGGATCCTAGGAATGAATTAGCCCATTAAGTGAAGGCACTCTCTCACTCCCTCACACACATCCCCACAAACATGTATATTTCTTTTTACTCAGCCACAAGGATTTTTTTTCTTATACCCAGTCATAATTAACTTTTCTTTTTCACTTCCTCTCTAAAGAAGGAAGGGCAGGATATTACACCATAATTGGATAACTCTTTAGCAGTTTTTAGCAGTTAGTTAATTCTTTGGCTATTAGCTGAAATAAAGCTTCTATTCTTTTCCAGGGCCTAAGATCTGCCGGAAAATGGATTCCAGGACATCAGAGTGGTGTCACTGGCTTTTAACAAAAGAGTTCTGCTCATATTCTCTTTCTTTCTTTTTTCATCCCAAGAAGGAAAGGGTTGCTCTACTTGGCTCTCAATGACCGGAGAGAAGGGACTACATGATGAGAAAAAACAAAATATTAAAAGTCAAACCCAAGGCAGCATTCTGGAGAAAGTGAAACTGCAAACCTTGAAATCAATACATCCCCATCTTTCTTGGAGATAAAGTACTTAGTTTTGCTTTCAGCCCCATTTTTATAACATTGATTTTCTAAAATAAAATATTCTTTTCTCATTCTCTCTTAATCTTACATATTTTAGTTTTCTTAAATTGAATACTTTGAAAATAATTTTGCTTTAAAAATTCTATTTTCTGATTTGAGAAGTATTAAATACCTCCCAAGAATATGATTAATGGAGATCCAGGACCTGAGCCATTAACCACCCTGCATATTACATCAGAAGGATACTTTGTTTTTATGTAGGTATCAAGGAAGAATTATCTTCATCTAAGTTGCATTTATTTCTTTTTGGTTACTTTGTTTCTATAATGTATTCTCCAAATTCAGCTAGCTTAGGCTTGAGGAAACTCTGCCTCCTTCACTTGACATACCGCTCCATTGGCATTTTGCTTTTACGTATTTTCATAAATGAAGCAGAAATGTTTTCTCAGCACCACATGCCCTGCCACCTTCCCCAAAGGACAGAAACACATAGACTGTGTAGTCCTGAGAACATTGCCCTCCTCAGGCACAAGTGTGCAAGATGACATTGAAGTGAAAACTATCGGTGACCTAGCCTTTGCCCCTGGCCATGGGAACAGTTCCTACTCCCTTTGGTCTATCAGTGAAGTGGTAGATAGACACACTCTTTACTGACTTTTCCTTCCTCTTCTGCAGGAATTTTCTGTGAAGTTGCTAACTGGCCATCTTGTAGAGGTTAGGTGATCGCTTAGAATCACTTAGATGGTCATTGGGAACAATTAACTTCCTTTTTTCGAATTTGTATCCTTAAATATTCCTTTAGTTTTAGGTCTTTTCTCTCCACGTTTTATTGAAAAAAAGTACAGATAGGAGTAGAATGAGTTTTAAGATAGTAAGAGTTTAGAATAAAATGTTTTATAGAATGACAGGAAATCCAAGAAATTTAGAACTTGAAAGAACTTTAGAAATAGTGCTGTCTCGTAGATTTTAGGACTGGACTCTGCCGAGCCCTCAGGGAGCACAGCCAGGAGTGGGAAGGAAACTGGACACCTTGGGTTCCTCGTGCCTGCTCCAACTTGTATGGCTCTGCTTCTGTCTGCTTAAAACTTGGGGGTCTGAGAAAGAAAATTTTTTGAAAAAAACATTCCATTACTAAAAGGATAAGATATATATGTGTACATATACATATACGCATATGCTTTCAAAGCCCTTATTTAACCAATCTGTTCACTTAAAAGTTGCAGAAACAAAGTCCCAAAGTTGTCTAAACAAACGTGTAAGAGCCAAGACTAGAAATCTGCCCTCCTGATTCCCAGTTCTGTTTTCTTTTTCTCCATATGACACTGCCTTTTTTTCCCATATGACACTGCCACACTTTTGCCGCTTAGCAGTAAACCAGGAAAGACGGGGCTGGTGGGGCAAGTGGTTCTAAGATGGGTAGACTAGTAGGTAAGTGTGGCTGAATGACCATTTGACAGAATCAGATTTTTCTCTCACCTAGGTGAGAAATGGCCATGGGAGAAGTAAATTGCCCTTCCATAGGTGAGAACACAGCACGTGGGGATGGTTGGATTGCTTCTTGTCCGTTCTGTTTGTGGCAAGAGAGTAAGTGTAAATAATGGGCAGAGGGGAGCAGAACCCTTGGTGCGTTGATGGGTAAATATGGGGATCCCTAACCTTGGTCCAGGGTCTTCTGCTTTACCATGATCTTTCCCTTCTTCCTCTGTATTAATAAACACTTTCAATTTACATCAGACTCTTCAACACTTATATATCACATAGTTTCACCTATACATTTCCCTATTAGTTCAAATCCACTCACCTGATGACCAATTTCCTGAAGGAGGGACAAATTCTTGCCTCGTGTCCTCCACTTTGCACAGTTCGAGTCACTGCATGGTTGCTTGAAGAATGTGTGAGGATATTTTACTGACTCCATTTTGCTGTCAATAAAATTAAGGGTGGACAATTCAAATAAACAATTATATGTCCCTATTGTCAAAAGAGGAGTGCAGAATTCTCGTGGACTGATTGGCTTAATGGTCTTTTTGACAAAGCCAGTTAGATCTCAAAGGAAGTGGAATTCAGCCATCTTCACAGCTCAGGGAAGGGAGCCCTGTCGCTCACTTTCAGAGCAGGCTGCTCCTCGTTTGCTCTCCCTGCTCTGGTGAACGCTTCGTTTGCAGCAGGCCCTATAACATTACCATGCATAACAATCTGTCACTATTATTCATGGCTTTTCTCCAGTCTCCATACTTTTGACATTGCCATTAAAGAGATTCAGTGTGCTTAGTAGCTCTTTAAAAAATAAATAATTGAAAGCTAAATTATATTAAACCAGGCCAACGCTGACCCCTTCACCTCAGTCCATCGCTATCTCCTTAAATGTATTCCTTCTTAAATCATATTGTAATTTGAAGATGCTGAAGTCTAAGTTTTTTGACTCAAATGCAGTTTCTTCTGATGCATAATTCATTTTCACTTTGTTACTGGGGCTGCACACGCAATCGCTTTTTTGGCAGCTAAATGCAGGATGAAATCAACAACTCTGTAAAGGGTGAGGAATCGGAGTGGACATCTTGGCGGAAGAAATATTAAGCATGTCACAATGTTTTGTACTCTGTCTGGTGAAATGGAGACAAAACCTTCCAACAACCCTCAAGTTAATGCGAGAGAATGGCATTTTATGGCTAAAAATTATCTACCACTGATGTCATGCTGATGTTGCATTTAATTATTCTGCACATGGCAGAAGATGATGACTTTTGAATGTTTTCAAGCCTCACAATTATTTGATGAGTATCTTCTTGGACTTTTGCTAGTGTTAAGAAAGAGAATACTCCCCAGTGTGTCTGTCGTTCTCATATTCCCCAAGGTTTTAGAATTCCCAGTGAAAACATATGACCTTAAAACCAAGAGAAACTAGCCTGGAATGTCTCAGAGTGATGAGGTTGTCAATATAGACAGGAATTTGAATGTCTGGAAAATTAGGTAAATTTAGACCTGCTACAAAAGCAACTAAAATTAAGTTAGCTTTAAATTCTGGAGCAAAGTGATCTAATATCACACAAACTCAGAAAACTGCCATTTATTGGCCTTTAGAAAAACATATTGTACTATTTCCTCAAATTAGTTGACAAATCAGAAAGTTTGTTTCGGGTGCCTTCACACTCCCTTTTTATTCATTAAAAAATTTTTAAGAAACTATTAACACAGGGTCCGGCCCGTGGCATAGCAGTTAAGTTCGCATGATCGGCTTTGGCGGCCGGGAGTTTGCAGGTTTGGATCTCAGGCACAGACATAGCACTGCTCATCAAGCCATGCTGTGGCAACATCTCACATAAGATAGAGGAACATTGGCACAGATGTTAGCTCAGCAACAATCTTCCTCACACACACACACACAAAACACATTAACATGTAAAATTTAATATCATTTGTGGTAAATGAATACCAGAAAACACTTTAAATGCTTAATATTGGAAAAATGTATTGTCATAAGATACATTTAATCAGGGAGCACCAACAAAAGGAATGCTCCACCACATTGCCAAATCCCTACTCCTTGTCCTCCTTCCTACGCCATGTGAAATTCCTCCCGTAACTCTGCCCTCAGCCACTACTTGTTTGGCAAGGCAATTTTTAGGTAATAATTACCTGATTAGGGCCTGGAATGTGAACACTCAAATGCATGAATATCTCTATTGGTTAGAATTTCAGAATGGATGACCATGAGGAAGACTGTGAGTGTGCGTATGTGTGTGTGTGTGTGTGTGGATGGGTGTTTAGAGTGCAGGAGGGGGAGGATAGATAGTGTTCCTCATATTTCCAATAATTAAGTTACCACCTTTTTGGTCCATTTACTACACTATCCCACTATATTGCCTTCGCTCTTTCTGAACACCTTGAAAGAAGACAGCTGAAGACAAATTTTGAGAAATAAGGTGAAAACAACCTGAAAGGTTAACTGGTTAGAGGGATTGTTTGATCACGGCTGATTAAAAGAAATAAATCTTTGTAACTTGATGCAAGGACAATGAGTGACTAAAGCAGGGCACAGAGGGGTGCACCATCCTTTCCCTCTTTCATGTATTCAGAGTAACAAATTTGAGTTGGAAGAGATTTATGAGGTTCAAGGGTAGCTTGGGGATAAAATTTAATCAATTGGACAATATATCTCTATTGAATCTTACAATGGACAAGCCCTGTTCTAGGCACCAAAAGAATACCAGAAAACTGAGAGATAGCCTGAAGCACTAGATGAAATTTTTAAATGATAACAAATAACTCAGAGTCCTGAAAGAGACACTGAATGTGTTGTATCAGAAATCTCAAATGAACTCTTTTCAAATTATCTACCCCATATGGCAAGAATCAGAATTCCTCTTGAGTCGCAGATGACTTCCATTATATCATCATGCCCTTTGAGGTTTAGTAATATTAATTCATAGTTTTTTGTTTGGAGATGTTTCATTAAGCCATGAAAATTGTCTTGGGTATGTGTGGTTTTGTTTTCTGGCTTGTTTATTCAATAAACTAGGAAGGAAAATTGTTCTTAACAGATTATTCTTTTTTTCTGAATTTGATGCAGGACAGCAGATATTTCTCAGGTAGTTAATTGTAGATTATCTTTGGCCCAGCTATTTCAACAGCTGTGGAGGTAAAAAAGTGTCTTTTGAACGTCATGGACCCTCCTGGGTTTGACCTCTGGATATCAGTATAGATATATGAACTTAGTGGTAAATAATCCTGTTTCTAAGAAATGGAAGTTGTTAAAAGAAGTATAATCAAGTAAACTGTTAGCAAGACATTTTTTTGTTGGTCTTTTCCCCAATCTCTCTTATGTCCTTCCTTTCCCCCTGTCTCTTTCACTTTGCTACAGTGTGTCTTCCCCTGCAAGGACTTGTCCAAAGGTCTGCCTTCCAATATGACTAAGCCAAGTGACAGATAACATGAGTTATGGTGTTAATATCTTCCATTAAATACGAATTTTCAAAGACCAAACAAAATCTTTCAGAATCCGAAATAGTAACTTGAGAAAAGTAGGATGCCAAGAGTGTGAAAAGGATTTTGAAAGGTCATCTCATCACACAGCTTGTTAAGTACACAGCCTTCCTCAGACACTGCCTGCTTAAGAAGGCCAGTCCAATTCCACGTCAACTCAAGATGGGTCTATTCTCTAAGGAGGAACCATAAACACACTCTACTTGATTTGAAAGAAAATAACAAACACTTGGGACTATTTGAATACTTTGTAGAAGGCCAAGAATATATTGACCACCTAGAGTATAAGATAAGAGAAAAGTCGTACTTAGAAAACAGAAAAGTTAGAAAGAGATTGGACTTCCTCCAAAAAGCAAAGTTTTAGGAAAATTACCTATTCCAAGATCATCACTTTTATCTCCTTAATTTTTAATATCAATTGCTCATCATCTCTCCTCAGTCGTCTTAACGTCTTTACAGAATGAGAATACATTCTTGTTCCTCCCTTTGGTCTCTAGTACAGGGATCAGTAAGTTTTTTGAATGACTCAAGTGAAAATTTTCTTTTTACATTTTCAAAGGGTTGTAAAAACAAACAAACCAAAAAATACAAAGAAGAATAGACCAACCATAGACAAGAGAGCCCGTATGTAGGCCACAAAGCATAAAACATTTACCAACTGGTCTCTTACAGAAAAATTTTGTCAGCCCTTGTTCTAGCAGGAAGTAGATTAGTAGGACTAGTAAGATTAGTAGCAAGGACTGACTCTGTAAGTGTGGACAAGATTTTTGAAGGAGAAAGCAATGGCTAAAGTTGAGGAGGTTGCTGAATTGTGCTTTAAATAACATGGACATTTAACCAATTCGCAAAGTTAGAAAAGGCAGTAGAAATGAATACAGGAAGACTCTGATCCTCAAAGAAAGTCATAGAACAATAAGATACTACAAGGAAAACATTTGAGATGTGTCATTAATGGACTATGTTTGCAGTACTAAAACCAGCTGGAAATGGAAGTTGTGGAATGATGGTGTTCAAAGGTCATACTAACCCAAAACTCTATTACAAGCACAAGATGCTAGGCTAAGAATATGAGCCAACTTACTGCCAAGATAGGACAAGAGACCAGGGAAACTTGTCAGCAAGGACTGTCAAACCAGGTGAGCAAAAGAATTGGCGACTTTGAGTATAAGCACAAAAGTTAAACATGAGCCCATTGATTGCACTTAAAAGAAATTCAAAAGAAAGGATACTGTCTTTTTTTCTTACTTTTAAATAGCATCACTTCCAAATATGTAGACTCGTTTGGAGTGTTTCCCTTTCTGTCCTGCCAAGCACCTAAAATGTAACACTTCTAAAATTTAAATTATTACCTTGTTCAAAAAATTTGCTTCCCTGCTAGAACTTCAGAGACTGAGGTGATTCTGTCCACTAACACCACCACTTTCAGATGTAAATTGGTGTGTGGCCAACTCCCGTAAGAGTCACCTTGGCCCCGTCCTGAGTCCAGTGCAACAGAAGAATCCATCGCTCTGCTCAGCTCTGCCCCAAATAATTTCTAGATAAAAGTGGCATGTGCCTATTTAGTGCAATATACAGCAAATTCTCCCCATAAGTCTGCATGGAATCAACAAAATCGAGGCATATCAGAAAATCAAAAGGGAAAATGTATAAAATAAAATCTACATTAGTTGACTTTGATAGTTGTAATATTATGAACTGAATTAATGCTTCATAAATACATGCTGGGCTCCTCCATCACAGTGATGTCAGCTCTCATTGTCAGTTGAGCAATTGCCTAGAGAGTAAACCGCATGTGACTTTGAGGTAGAACTCTGAATGAGGCATTTGGATGGGCTGACACGGACTAGGAATGCTGTGAGCATCCAGGTCCCCAAAGGGAAGGGAGACATGTGAAAGGAATATGAGCACATCATGTATGCCCATTAAAAAACCAATGTGA